AGATCTACAAAAGCATTTACAGCTCAAATTGATCAGTCAACCCTATCTTCAAAAGAACATATTAGCTAATGTATTATGCTATTCAATTATAGAACCATTGTAGTCGGTCAAGGGAACATTTGATTTCTTGAAAAGCTGGACCACATAGACTGACTTTCGAATTCAAAATTTTTATTTCAAGTCCAGACTCTGTTTCTCTCAACAAATATCGGGTTCTTTCTCTAAATCTCACACTTACACTTCTCATCCTCTTGATCATTTTATCTATTCTCTTCTTCTTTTCTCAATCTTTCACAAATTCCTTTCTCCAAAGATGTTTAAACAATCCAAATCTGGGAGGAAGAAAACAAAGGAGAATATTCTTCTGCAGCTGCCAATCAGGTTGGTCATCTTGAAGCATGGTTCAATGATGATATAACCGGATGAACTCATTCATTTATGAATACAACCAGAAGCAACTAGTTATTCCCAAGTATATCAGATTTGCACGGCTCAATGATGAAGGCTTCACTTCTTTAAGAAGGCATTTAAAGAATCAAAAGCTGAAAATGTTCATGGGATGTACTGGGAACATCCAACCTGATCTTGTCCGTGCCTTCTACTCAAATCTCACAGTCAGTGACTCAAATATTAAAACACAAGTGAAAGGAGTTGAAATGGTCATCACTTATTCTGTATGGGATCAAGTAGCAGGTCTCAAAGATATTGGAGTCAAGGTATCTAGGGGAAATGTCTCGGAACTACCAGAGTTCAACAAATTTAATTTTTCAGATCGTGCTTCAAGAACACCAATGACTCGGTCAGAACCTTGAATGTTGGGAAAATGAAGCTGGAATAGAGACTGCTAGCTTTAATCATAGCATGGGTGCTTACACCTAGGGGGAGCAATCATGCTCTATTAAATGAAGGAGATCTTGCTATAATGTATTGCATTCAAAATAAATACGGGTTAATTGGGTGTTTGTGATCAAGGTCAAACGTCTCGGTGACTTTTTCTTACCATATGCTTTGTTAATTACCATATGACTTGACAAGAGAATATGTTGAAACTCCAAAACCCACAAATGAAATTGATGATTCAACCCTCCAAAAGATGGGATTCATCAAAGTAGATGGAGACTGGATTTCCAAAATTGAAGCTGGAATGGCTAAAAATGAAGATGAAGAAGGAGAAGATTATGAACATGATGAAGTTTCACCTCCTTCAGTAACAAAAGTTCTGCAATCTGCTGACTATCACAACATGGAAATCACTCCATACTATGCTCAACCTGATAGAGGAACACCATTCTCACAATTTGAGCGTACAATGCTCACTCAGATGTCAGCGTTGCAAGAAAACCAAAGGAAGCATATATAGATGACTTTCCAACATTTTCAACACACCAGTTCTCAATTCTCAATTCTCCAACCTTGGCCATCAAATTTCTAATCTCTACACAAAATTGGAGGATATGCAGATGAATCAAGATCATTGGGATACTGAATAAGTCACGACTCAAGGGGTCCCTCTCTTTATCACAACTTTCTTTTTTTTTTCTTTTATTTGAGGCTGTAATATTTTAACTAGCTTCTAAACCAGAACACTATGACTCGATTAATATATATTATGCTTATATTTTGATTAAAACTACATTTTTTTCTTCTCTGATTTTGATGAAGTCAAAGGGGGAGAAATGAATATGGAAATAAACTCACTAACACAGAAACTCCTAATGACTTCTCTCTGTAGGTTTGTCTGCATCAAATAGGGGGAGATTGATGATGATTAAAGATCTTGAAGATTTGATGAAGTCAAAGTATTTTTGGAATAAGTGAAGACTTGTTGAAGTTAGAGAGTTTATGGGTTATAGGTGTAGTGATTAGTGAGTCTGCATCTTGTTTTAATAGGTATAATCATCTCTTAATTCCTATTGTATAAGGTTCTGTCATTAGAAAGAATTAAAAATGTCTCTAAACCTTTTAATCTGTTAAAAATCTTATTAATCGGTTAATATGTTCTTAAGACTCGAAATTAACTGATAAATTCCCAGTTTAATAGATTAAAAACAGTTAAAAACACTTTTATCATCATTTTAATTGATATATTTTCGAAACAATCAATTAAAACCACTTACAACATGTATTGTTATCATTTTAACTAATATACTTTTGAATTAATCAATTAAAAACACTTAAGAAGTTTTGAAAAACCTTTTGCCAGTATTTTAACCGATACATCTTCGAATTAATCGATTAAAAGTACTTAAAAAGTTTTGGAAAATGTTCTGACAGTGTTTTAATCGATTAAAACTCGAATTAATCGATTAAAAACATTTAAGAAGTTTTAGAAAACATTTTAGCAGTATTTTAATCGATTAAAACTCAAATTAATCGATTAAAATCACTTAAGGATTTTTTGGATAATCGATTAAAACATATTTTGATCAGTTAAAATAATTCTGGGAAATGAGGAAGATCATTTTAATCGATTAAATGGTATTTTCATCAGTTAAAACAGTTAGAATCAAGAATTATTAATCAATTAAAAGACAATTTAATCGATTAAATTAACCAGTTAGTTACAAAATGTCTCTATATAAACAGATTTGCTTGAGCTTTTTAAAACACACATTTTTGCGAAATCATTCAAGCAATTATAAAGATCATTCAAGAAAGAAGTGCACAACTTTTAGTGAAGAATTTTCAAAGTTCCCTTTTGAGGCATTCTTGTGTTCTTGCTAGTGAAGAATCTCAATCTAGTGGAATCTTTACATCTGCATAAATCGAGTTTGATTGTTCTAAGTCTCTTCTTTCATTCTTTTTCAATTCATCATTGTCTAAAGTGCCTGGAAGTTTGGGCATTGGTTTTGTAGTTGGAAATTAACTGCAGGTTAGTTCAAGAACTGGATTTTGGTTCTTAGTATAGGTTAATTGTTTTGTAATTTTGTTTTGTACTCAAAGCAATTTCAATCTAGTGGAATTCAACTGGAATTTTGGTTGAGAACTGGACGTAACCCCGTGGTTTGGGTGAACCAAGTATAATTCTTAGTGTTTTTCTGTCTTTAAACTTTTTCTTTAATTTTTGTTTGAATCAATTGCAATTCTGTTTATTTAGCTAGATTTAATACTTGATCAGAATTCATAATCTTTCAAATTGTAAATTTGATTCTACTAAATTGCAAAAAGTTTTTAAAAGATCAATTCACCTCTCCCTCTTGATCTTAGCTTATATTTCTTACAAATTATTGTTTTTAGTTCAAGAATTTGAATAAAAAAATATCCTTCAAATTTAGTTCATTAAATGAAATAAAAATATAATTTTAATTCCTAAATATTAAGATTGTTCTATTTTTCATTCCATTTTTTATTAAATAATCACCAAAATTAAGTTTAAAAATAAATTATGGTTCACTTTGGTTGATTTTAGATTAATATAAAATTTAAATTAATATTTTATGATATCATTTAGATATATTTTTGTGGTTTTTTTATTTTAAATTTATTAAACATATATTAGAGAAATATCATAAAATATTTTTGGAAAAATAAATTATTATATTCACAAATTCAATTTTTATCGTATTTATAAAAAAAATACATAATCTTACAATATAAATATAAGTAAACTACAAGCTTAATCTTGTTACAAAGCATAATTTTAAAATAAAATTTTCCAAACACAATTTCAACTTTATATTTAGCATTTTTTTTCCAAAAGGTTGTATTAGAAAATACGATTTTAATATCTACAATATGACTTTTACATTTTGTTTTCTAATAATAATAAATATTATTATTATATATTATATTTATTATTATTATTATTATTATTATTATTATTATTATTATTATTATTATGTTAATAATAATATTAACAGTAAAAAAATAAAACAATAATAACATTATTATAATAATAACTATTATTAATAATAATATTAGAAAATTAAAAATAGAAATCGTATTATAAACATATAACTTCATTTTTTTTAATATTACGACTCTTTCTAAGAAAAACTATAAAATTGTAATCGTGTCATGAAATAACACGATTTGCTCAAATTGATAATTTCTTCAAAATAATTACACATGTTTAATGTGTTTTCTTCCATAATCTAAATGTTTTTGGTTCACTCACTGTAAAGTCTACTCTCACTTGATACTTATCCTTTAAGTATTCATTAAAACTTTGTAAATTACTCTTGATCATTTCGGTTGGTGTTAAAATATTAAGAGAAGAGAAAAAAATCTACTTATTTTGGGTTAAAGATTTATTATTTTTCGTTTTATTTATTTTCTTATAATATAATGATTAAGATAAATTTTTATTTTAAATTATTATATTAAAAAAATGAAGAGTAAATAAATAATAAAGAAGATTTCATTATAAAGTAAGAATTGTTATGTGTTTTCTTCATTCTATTGGACTAAAGAAATAGATCTCTTATCAAATATATGAATATGTATTTTAAATTTTTAGATTTGATTGATTTGTTTTTCGTCTTTAGTAATATATAACATAATTTTAATTTTGCTAGTGCATTGAAAATGAGATACAGTCCAGGTATATTTGGTAGCTGAAATAAGAAAATAAATGACCGCCTTTTAGTTCAGCCCTTACTAATAATTTATTTTAATGATATTCCTGACAGATTGATAGATCGCTTTTATTTTATTAATTGATAATTGTGATTATTGATAGATTGAAAGTATATTCAATCAATTTAGAGACAAAAAAATTTAAATAATTTAATGATTAAAAGATAAATTTATTTTAAGTAAATTAAGTGCTAATTGTGATATTGTGGTTTTTCTGAACTGAAGATTGTGTTAAGACTACTAGGACAAAATTCCAAGGGATAAGCTGATTACAGTAACGTAAGACTAATCCTTTAACAACTTATGAAAAGGAAACAAAAATCAGACTAGAGAAGTTTTTACTGTCTATGTTGACGCTAAACCATAAGAAACAATGGGAAAAACCGACAGCAGAGTCAATAAACAGTGGATGTCATGCAAATCTACAACTCGTCCTTGACATCATCAACATCATCATCATCATCGACTTCAGCTTCAGGCTTTGGAGTATCTTCTTTTGCGTCACTTTCAGCCTCTGCTTCGTTGTCATCTTCCTCTTCAACTGTTGCTTCAGGACTGATGTCCAAGCTAGACTTCACTGAATCATAAATACGGGAAGTGAAATCCTTGGGATCATCAAGCAAGAAGCCACTTTCAAAGAGTGCAGTCTGGTACATCAGCTGTGCTGTTTGTTTCACTCCCTCATCCTGAAGAGTAAGTCCATTGTGTCAACAAATAAATCTTAATCGTGTTGGGAAAAGAGAAGCTACAGAGGAAATCAAGTAACAGGAAACATTCTAATATTAAGAATACCTCTGGGTTCTTCACTACTCTGTCGCGGAGTTCCTTGATAATAGGATGCCTAGGATTAATCTCAAGAACCCTCTTACCACGCATGTATGCTTGCTTGCTAGCATCTGACAAAGTTTGAGACTGCATGATTCGCTCCATGTTAGCACTCCAACCATATTTTGATGTCACCACTACACAAGGAGTGTTATCCAATCGGTTGGATATCTTCACGTCATCAACATTGTCCTTGGAAAGAGCACTTTTCCACCACTTGGTAAGATCCTTAAAGGATTCCTTCAGTTCCTTGTTTTTGGCATCCTTCCCAAGTTTCAAACCCTCCTTGGACACATTTTGGAACTTTTTATCTTCATAATCCATCAGATATTGCATCAAGTATTCATCAACTGGATCCGTGAAGAAAATAACCTGTACCAGGTTGAAAAGAAAATACACTCAGAAGACATCAAATAACTAAAATCGTTAGCAAAACAGAGACAAAAGTTTTTAAGAACAAAGAAATATAATTTCTGGAAGTAATATGTTTTCCATAAAAATCAACTGATTTTAATTGCACCTCAAAATTTTTCTTCTTAAGCCGCTCAAGGAATGGAGACTTTTCCAGTTGTTCTTTGCTGGTTCCGGTGATGTAAAAGATGTCCTTCTGCCCAGCTTTCATTCTCGATATGTACTGATCCAGAGATGTCAGTTTACCCTCAGACTTGGAGCTGCAAGAGTTCCCAAGTATCACCCAAATGTTAAATAATGAATGCGGGAAATAACACTACCGAGTTTAGCTATTACAAGCAAGTAATATACCTCTCAAATCTAAGCAATTTTGCCAACCGATTTCTGTTGGTGGCATCCTCGATGATACCAAGTTTAATGGACTTACCAAACTCGTTCCAGAACTTAACATATTGACCTTTCTTCTCATCGTTGTCAGAGGATGCACCTTCTGCATAAATATTTAAGATAGATGCAAGTACGAAGTCAATCAATAGAATTCAAGAAGCCACTCATACATTTAATGGAAGATGACAAAATCATTTCACCCCCACCCCGCAAAAAAATAAAAATGAGAGCAAGACAATTTGGGACACAGCAAGCCTAGAATTATAGGACTGACATGTTTTTTGGTCAACCTTAGCCCACGAAAAGAGAATATTGATTCCAAGAGACAGAGCCCATAATTAACACCATACCTTTCTTTTCTTTGTCAGTGGACTCGTCAGGATCCTCATCAGCAATCCTACGGATCATATCAAGGGCTTTCCTGATAAGTTTCTTCTTGATTGTCTTTAGACTATTATGTTGTTGAAGCATTTCTCGCGATACATTAAGTGGCAATGTGTCAGAATCAACAAGACCCTGTTCCCAATGTCAAAAATAACATTTATTAACAAAAATCACTCTGATCCTCATAATATATATTTTACCTCCAATAACAAAGCACAGTAATGCCTACCCTCAAGAAGTTTAGATACTTGGGCAACAGTTCATCAAACTCGTCTGAAATGAACACTCGTCTAACATACAACTTCAGGTTGGATTTGTTTGCGTTATAATAGCTCTCGTATAAATCATGAGGTGCCTTAGGTGGTACAAACAGGACTGCCTTGAACTCTACATCACCTTCGGCAGTGAAGTGACTCCATGATAGAGGTTTCTCATCACTGAAATCCTGCACAAACATAAATCCTCAACTTTATAATATTAACAAACTCGGAGTGAAGTGAATTTAGCTACAAATTCCCTTGAAGTATCACACAAGCAATGAACATGCAGATATTACCTTGGCAAGAGAGTGGTAGAATTTGGTGTATTCTTCCTCTGTAACCTCCTTTGGATTTCTCAGCCATATAGCTTTCACATCATTTAGAAGTTCCCATTCGAAAGTTGTTTCCTTCACTGTCTTTGTCTTAGGCTTTTTGTCTTCATCTTCGTCACCTTTGTCAGTATCTTCATCTTCAGTTTCCTCCTTGGAGCTGCCATCAGCTGTTTAAGGAATAAAATAAGGTAAGAATGACACCTTAAATTACCATTACCATAATATACAAGAATAATCAAACAACAAAACTTCATCTTGAAACAAGGTATAAATGGAAAGATAAAATTGAACTTTTTAAAATGTACATACCTGAATCATCTTCATCACTGGAATCATCTTCATCTGCGGGAACCTCCACATCAACATCTTTTCTTGCCCAAATATAGATAGGGAAGTTAATAAACTCAGAGTACCTCTTCACCAATTCCTGTGAAAAAAGAACAGTTATCAAATCATATTAGCAAGAGATTGACTTCTTTCGTATTTAGTCCTTGACGAAAACAACAAATATTAAATCATGTTAACTTTTCTTTCTTATCCTTTTCGCAACTATAAAATGTATAATTGTGCTGCCAAATCATAATCCATATAAATATTTACTTGTAGTGAAGAAGTTACTTTAACTACTAAAAACTCTAGCTTTTTACAAATGCAACACTCTATAAAAACTCAGCGCCCTACTCAATATTGCATATTTACCCAGCAAAAATCAATAGCACAGCATGTGTTAACACATGTCATAAGATAAAAGTAATTTTCCCTGTAGAGGACACCTATGTTTCCAAGTAAGACCAAATGCACACTACATATTGTTGACATAGATTTATAGATTGTACTCTAAAAGTTTAAAGTGAATGACCCTAAGAGTAAAGTTATCCGCGGTAAATAAGAAAACGTGAATTTTTAAACTCGACCAACTTCTAATAGTTAAGGTATTAGTTTGGTGCATACTTTCAGTTTAGATTCCTCCAAGTACTCCCCAGCCTCTTCTTTGAGGTGTAGTCTAATCTCGGTTCCACGTCCTAGAGGATCGTTCCATGTATCTTCCGAAATTGCAAAAGCTCCATCAGCTTTTGATTCCCATACATACCTAAGAATCGAATAATTTCCAATTTAGTCAGAACTGCATTACAAATCAACAAAAAAACAACGCCTTCAACAATATCAAGTTCCCAGACATACTGTTTATCATCATTATGCTTGCTAATGACTTCAACATAGTCAGCCACGAGATACACAGAGTAAAAGCCGACACCAAACTGCCCAATCAGATTGAGATCTCCACTTGTTTGCATTTTCTCGACAAATGCTGAATCAACACACAGTTCTAATTAACACCATCCCAACCACATCACAACAAAATTATATCAGCAAATGCCACAACACACATACCTGAAGTTCCAGATTTGGCAATTGTCCCCAAATTCTTAATCAAATCCTCCTTCGTCATTCCAATACCCCTGTCGCGGATTGAGAGAATTTTCTTTTCCTTGTCCAACTTAATCTGAAGTACCAACATGTTTCAGTTTAGTTGCAAAGTAAATAACGTACACAGCAACACAACACCAGCATTCATTGCTTAGAATGTCAACAAACATTACATCCAAAAATTTCTTAAAAAACAAAATAATATGAATAATAATTGATAGATGCTAGCAGTACTAACCTGAATATCAAGCTTGGTGTTATCACCTTCTCCCAAAACTTCCTTGTCAGTGAGGGAGAGGAATCTAATCTTGTCCAAAGCCTGAAAGGCATGCATCATTTGTCATTAACAACAACACATTCGAGTTTCGGACGCAAAATTTGAAATGCAAGGGTTTTCTAAACTTAATTTAATAAACAAAAGCGCTTACGTCAGAAGCATTGGAAATCAACTCTCTGAGGAAGATATCCTTGTTACTGTAGAGAGAGTTGATGATAATATCCATGAGCCGTGACACTTCCGCTTGGAACTCAAACTTCTCCGCGTTGCTCCGGAGAGATCTCTTAGAGATCGACTCCGACTCCCTTAAAATCACAATAACACGCGTTCAGATGCCAAAACAAGAAACCGAACTATAAAACAAGAGATAGAGAGGAACAACACATACCTCTTGACCACATCTGAATCGGTGGAAAGGCCATGAGGAACAGCGCCGATCTTATCTTCCACCTTCGGTGGATCTACAAGGTCATCGGAATCTCCCTCGGCATTTGCCTGAAACTTTTGACCTGCAGAACCAAAATACGATGCGTAAAGGAATTCGCATACGAAGTGATAGACTAAGAGAAAGAGAGTGAACAGAATGGTGAAGTGGCGTACCTTGATCTGCAAAGAGAGAGAGAAGACAGAGTAGAAGGAGAACGGAAGCCGTCCACTTCCTCATCGCAGTGCACACACACAATGCTTCTAGTAGCTTCCACCACTGAAGAAGAGATCCGTTTAGTTTGTATTGATTTCGCAAATGCTTTTAGATGGTTTATTTATATATATCACTTGGCTGTAGGTTTGCCCCTGTTTGTTACGGGGTGCTTCGTTCCTACCAAGACCTCCGTTCCGCCAGCGTGGACAATCTAACGGTGTAAAATCCAAGTGGTAACGCGTGGCAAGCTTTTATTGGTTATATCTTGTTCATTCGACGTGGAAATTGCGAGTAGCGTAGGAAATGGTCCCATGAGACGACTCGAAAACGCAAGTCCACCATTAGCATTTGGAAATGTTTGTTCTGCTTCTCAAATACGGCAACTTCTTATTGGTTGTATATTTTCTTTATTTACTTAGAGAAATCCAATCACTTTTCTTCTATTTTTTTTATCACTTTTTTTACTTCTTCAATTTTTATATTAAATATTTTTTATTATAAAAATTGAATAAAAATGGTTTTAAGAATTAATTTTTATAAGACTAATTCTAAAAGTTATTATTGAATGAGAGTAATTTTCTGATTTATTTTTATATTTATTGAAACACCTTATTTATCTTTATTATTATTGTTATTATGGTTTCTTTGAAATACTTTTTATTTTATTTTGATTCAGCTTATTTCTTTCAATATAGTATTTTTATATGTAAATTGGATTTCAATAATTTTTAAATTAAATTGCTAATAATTAAAAATATCATTGTATAATATAAATTTTTATTAAATTAAAAAAATATATTTATTTCCTATAAATTTTAATATAATATAAGTTATAATTTTAAAATGTATGTTTATTTGTAGATTAAATTATTAAACAGTTATTCTATGCTACTGGTGTTTTCGTACCATTATTTAACATGAATGTTTTCGTACAATTATTTAACATGAAAGTACGATCTAATTTCAATTACTATATGATTATAATTTGGTATTATAAGTTATTTTTAAAAATATTAAATCTTTTATTTTTAAAACAACGTGAATAAAAAAAAATAGTGAGTAGAAGTCAAAGCAATCTCAGACACAACTAAACTAGACCAAGATTCACATTCCAGGTCCCGGAAATGGGCTCGAGTAGCCATGACAAAGAGACCTTTCCATGGGCCCAAACAAAAATTAAACAAAATGGGTTGTGTTCGTAAACCAATCCGAGGAAGGAAAACGGGTCAGAGTGGGATCATAGTATATATGAACTTAATAATGAAATCATTTTTTACATTAATTATTATGAAATAAAACAGTTAAAATCTTTTACATGTTCAAATTTAAAGAATTTTTTTTTTACAAAACTCTCATATAATGACCCTACAATTACTAATTAATATGGTTATAAAATAAAATACTAAATTGATGTTAAGTACGTGTCAGAAAAGTATTTTCTTCAGTATGTTATTTCAATAACAACTTGAGCTATAAATATTTTTAAAACACAATTCATATTATGTCAACTTAAATACATTATCAAACCATTTAATATGAAAATAATATACATGTATGGATTGTTGTTAATATAATGGTTATTTAGTTTTTCTTTCTATTTATAGGTTAGTCAAGTGTTATTTTTATAGAAGTTTTTCCTTTAATTTTTTACACTCATTCATAATTTTGTATAAAGCATTTGTTTTTTATTATTATTATATTTATTAAATTAGTTTCAAAGTCAATTTATTAGAAATTTTGTTACAAATTACTATGTTTTTCTCTATTATTCTAATTTGACTTGTTGATTTTATTTTTCTTTGTATTCTTTGAAATCAATTGTGTTGATCTTGAAAATTCTTATCACATAAAATTTTAAGGAATTTTATTATGTTAACTATCATATATAGTAAAAACTATCACATTTCGACTCAAAACAATGATTATGAAGATAAGATATAAGAGCAAACTCAAATTTATCAATGGAAATTTGACAAAACCAAAAACGGGAAAGACAATTTTTGAGGCATGGGAAATTTGTAATACCATAGTGCTACATTAAGTTACTCATTATTTAGAACTAACAATAACTCAAAATATTTTTTGGATGAAGCACTTATTAGAGGTATGGAGTGATTATTAGAGGTATGGAGTGATCTCACAGAGGAGATATTATTAAGGAATGTGTTCAAAATCTCATAATTTCATGAAAAGTTTATTACCAAAGATAAAAGGACAAGTATCACTAACGGTGAAACTAACATTTTATTTTAAACAAGATCAAAATAAAATATACTTTTTTTTAATTAATAAAATAAAACTATAATTTTTTTAGGTTGGGTCATATGCCTTATAAGACCCCTTCCCTTCACAATTATGGCAAGAACTTCAAAATTTTTTACCATTGCCAAAATGACAATAAAAGAATATCATGACTTAAAAGATGAAGTTAGATTCTTAAAAGGCTTTCATGACTAATATTATTTTATAGTAAGATCATATATATAAGAATAATAAAAAATTATTTTCTCTCTTAAATTATACTAATTTATTTTTCTAAAAATAAATCTTATAAATTATGAATGTATCTCGTTCTACTCAATTGTAAACTATACACATTAAATAATAGAATAATTGTACGAGTAGTAATTATTTGTAAATATGGTGATTATTATTTATAAGATCGCTAATAATGAATAAAAGAATAAAAACCATCTTTCTAACATAGTATCATACTCGTTCTAATCTAATATTTTTTTAGTCTTTGTTAAATGTTTATGTGGTCAAGCATGAGGTTCCTTCTCTAGATACATGTGTTGGCGAACTTCTTAAGAAAAAAACAACTTACTCAAGGATTCATGACTCATTATTTTAGTAAAAGAAATCAATTTTTCATGAAACTTCACTCAGAGTTTTTAGTTGTTAAAGGTGCTTTGTTGAAGAAGAATCATGTTATTTCTCTGGATACATGTGTTGGTGAACTTCTTAAGAAAAAAAAACAACTTACTCAAGGATTCATGACTCATGATGTTTCCCGAGCAAAACCAATGATAGTTGCATATGCTGCCCAAACTAAAAGCAAAAGTCATGATATGCAACATGTCCAATGTTTTTCTTGCAAATAATTTAGACATATTGTTTGTCACTGTAGTAAAAAAATTTGTTATTACTACAAATATAAAGGTTCTCATATCTCTGATTGCCCCATGTGTCTTATCAGAAAATCATATCATTCTAATTAGGCATTTTATCCTCCTATTCATGATGCATCTAATATTGGCATTTTACAACTTAAAATTATCCAATAAATGATATTTTAAGCTCTTTAAACTTTGGGCATTTAGAGTAAGTCTTCTACTATCTTTGATCCATGGTTTCTTGATTCTAGTGCATCTAATCATATGACAGGTTCTTCAAAATACTTACACAATATATATTCTTATAATGATAGTCAAACAATTCAAATTATTGATGGTAATAATCTTGTTATCACTTATATTAGTGACATATACTTTTTTTTTTCAAAATGTACTTGTATCATCTACCCTTGCTTCAAATTTATTGTCTTTTGGTCAATTAGTTGAATACAATTTTAGAGTTAAATTTTCTCGGATTGGTTATCTTGTACATTAATATTTATCAGGCAACATGATCACGAAAGAGCCTACAGTGATAAAATTGTTTCCTCTATAGTTTGTTCCTCATCTGTCTTTTTCTTGTAATAATGTTTTGAATTCTCTTAAGGATTGACATAGAAAATTGGGTCATCCTAATTCTTTTGTCTTATCTCACTTGTTTAATCTAGTTTGCTAAGAAATAAAAATATTGTTATTGCTTAATTTGTTTCTTGTTTTGTTTGCAAATTGTTTTAGATTAAAACACATTTTACCTTTTAGTACTCATCATGTTTCTTATTGTTTTGAAAATGATTCAGTGATATTTAGGGTATGTCTCATATGACTTCTCATGCTCATTATAAACTTTTTGTTACATCTATTTATTATTACAGTCATTTTACTTGGATATATTTTCTTTTATCTAATTTGAATTATTTTATGATATAAACCCCATTTGCACAAACGTTGACTTAGGATCTTCAGGGTTAGAACCTTGTAGAAAATTAGTGAGGATATGAGTTGGAAAGAGGAGAAAATTCCAGGGTTGACAGAATTAAGTTTCCTAAATTCAAGTGAATAAAGAACAAGAGGTGAATGTGAAAGTTCGCACGAAAGAATTACTCTTTCCAAGGGACACAACTCACAGAAGATGTGAAAGTCCTTTGATACAACATAATATTTTTGAATCATTCAAAATAAATGAAAATATTCAATAAAGGAAAATAAATGTTAATAATGGTCCATTAACTTAGGAAATGAAAATTACTTAATGGTTGATTGTAATTGAAATTATGACAACCAAAAGTCACCCAAAAGCAATTAGTTATGCGCTCTCTATGTCTCCTAAAGACTGATGTTTAAGTTTCCAATTAGGTCCTTATTACAACTTGAAATAAAACCAAACTAAAGCACATTAATTGATTAACCTAAAACATAATTTGGTCAGTCAATTTTACAAAGGATTGGACAATTATTTAAAAACTAATAACTTAAAAACTAAAGCAAAATGACGCGTTAGTCCTCCTTCATTTGGGCCATGATCCAATTCACAACTTTGATATTTTCTCCTTGAAATTTGGGTTTGTATTTAAATAATATGGACAAAACCTTGTTGAAGAACTTCCTTTGTTTTCCTTGCTCTAGCCTTTGTCATAGGTCCTTCAAGTGGATCCTTGTCCTTATTCATGTTATGTCCCCATCATTCTCTCCCTCTTGAGAAGGATTTGTCCTCAAATAAAATTCTTTATCTACATAAAAAAAGATAAGTCAGACACATTGAAGGTAGAACTAACATTATACTCACCGGGTAGCTCAATTTTGTTAGCATTGTCATTGATTCTCTCAAGCACTTGGAATGGACCATCCCCCCTTGGTTGAAGCTTTGATTTCCTTTGTTTTGGAAACATTTCCTTTCTCATGTGCACCAAA